CGGCCGAGAAGGTGTAATTTGTGGAAACCCATGGTGGTCGCACTGTCGTCTAAATGCAAATCGATGCAACGATCTTCGTTCGCTGTCCGTGGGAATGCTGGATTTATGTGGAGCGGGTCAGGAGTGTTTTGGTAGAACAATAGATGTACGAACGTGGATTCCTTGGTCTAGATCGCTGTATGCGTTTCAGATCCACTTTAACAACCGAGTTATTCCGCTTTTTTAGAAATCTTTGCAGTGAGTGAAAGACGTCGAGGAGTGTAGAAAGTGCACATGCAAAAGTACATGATTCCGAGAGTGACTTGGTCAGTGAAGCATCTGAACTGGATTAAATCGTCCAGACGGAATTTTTTCCTCATGTAATAACTCTTCTGTAATTATCGAAGACGCGTGTACTACTATAACCGGTCTTACCTATTTTAATCACTTTCGTAATTACCATCTACGTGTACTCCGATACCAGCACAGGCCTGCGCTGCCTCTGTCACAAAGATCACCCGGTAAGGAAGAACACTGCGTCTAAGATCCCACGTTTTTAGTCCACGTTGTAACCTCTCATCATAGATTTGGTCCGATGTCCAACTGTAACTATATCTATCTTTCGAATTTGATCACGGAGCAGAGAATGTGCGAAAAAGTGCAGCATCATCGGTGTAGGATCATTGCACAGGGTGGTCTGCGGTCGCGTTTCGCTCCTTACGTATCCTTTACCGTCACTCTCGTTCACGCACGAGCTTTCATTTTCTCCAGTATCCAAATGGGGGCCTTCGTATATTTTTAAGGCGAGCCCAACAAAGGCGATCCACGGTGTTCACGCCGTAGAATCGTAATGCTCCGGTGTATTTCGCGCACGTATACACACGCGTGTATCACGATATCCCTGCACGGTATGCATAATACGACGGGTAACATAATGCATCTATTGTTGGACGAGAACTCTCCCTCTCCCTTTCTCTATCTCCCTCTGTCTCCCTCCATCTCTTGTTTACCCTCGGGTAAATAGGCGACGAGTACATATAAGCGGGTACATAGAAAACGTTTTAATACTCATTTGCATGCATTCAGCCCGCGTACACGGCGCTTATATACGGTGTTTATAGAATCACCGTCTAGACGAGAACGTCCTTTCTTCAACAGGCTGGTTCCTTTTAGGAGGCTCGTAGGTGCGAGCCACGCAATGATTTACGACTGTTTGTCCAGCCGGGCCGGGGTAAAAATTTGGAACACGGTATAACGTTCCTGTACTCGGAATTCCGCCGAGAATAATTACCTTTATTATCCACGCGACGAAGGGAAACACGCGTTTCCATCCCCTGCGCGGCAACTTCCAGTCGGAATTTCAAGAACACCATATGTCGGATAACGAAGCAATTATTTCTACGTTTGCACCGTGGACACGGGGATTAGGCGAATTAACCCTGTTCGCCACGGTCCCGGCGTCAACCGGGACCATTACCGCGACGTTCACGACGATTTCATTTCTATCCAGATCTATCACGTCTGATCGTCAGATCTAAAAATTGAAAGGAAAAATCTTCATTTGGATGGCGTCGCGCTGCATCGAGATCTATCTTTGCTTCGAGGAACCGTCGAGGGTTGAGTAACCCAATGGTTGTCATAGAGCCTATAAAACCCTTGCCGAAGAGTTTGACGGGACACACTTTTTGACAGTGCATCGCGTGTTTCTTTTAATTTATTAACACTTCGACTGCCACGTTGGTCATATATGACTAGCCACGGTTTCTCCTGTGACGCCATGGTGGTCATTGGTGACCGAAGCGCTTGAACTAGTTGAACTACATTGAACTTGCAGTGAATGAAAATTGACAATTAGTGCATTTTAAATATAACCGTTGATTAGAAGATACTTTGAAGTGAAAAGTGCCCCATTGAACAATTAAAAATTTTTATCAGAACATCAAGAACATGTTAGAACAAATCTTGCATCTAGCTGTGCACTACCGTGACTCCCTGAAGGGAGTCAAAGGGTTTAACCCGATTTTATCACAAATTATAGGGTATAATAAATAAATTCACAGCCATTTGTCGATTTACTTTTCACGTCGATGCTTTTGCTGCCAAAGAAGGTTCTCGTTACAGAAATCCATTAACACCGCTAATTGCCGGTAATGCACATTTTTGCTGACTCGATCGGGAAATAAAAAGGGGAAAAAGTGCTAGGATCAACACCGGCGATTTATCTTCAGCTTCCACCATTTTGTTTTTGTCGTTTTGGCCAGTCATGGATAACGGGACGCGCACACGATATTCCCGACACTATGAGGGATTAATCGGCTGTTCCGGTTGTTATCTCTCGAACGTGCGAAGCTTAACACGCCGTTAATTAGGCAAATCCGAATACGTGTTTTCCCCCTGCCTTTTTCGGCTCGGCTTTCGGAGATCTTAAAACCGTTTACTTTTACGTCTCCGCGAAACGTGGCACAATTGCGTAATGGCTGAACCGTGTAGAAAGTGACAAAAGTCTTCTTGGCAAGGGAATTCTCACGGGTGCGGGACAGGGATACGTGTACAGAGCTGATGGACTGGCTGGTGCACCATGCTACACGTGTCCCAGCTGTATAATTAAGGAAACTAACGTGACACGATCAAAGATAGCTCTCGTCCATTACGGGTATCTCATTCGTGCTAACTCGAGGAAGAGACGCGGTTTGCAGCTTTCGAACAAAACTCACTCCATGAACCCGTCACTCTTTGACAGTCGTAATATCTATTTCCTCGTCCTTGCACCTGTCTACCTTAAGGCCATCACACCAACGTACGCGAGTTTGCTCGTGGTCGTGCTAGGGAAGCCATCGTGTTGCTCCTCTTCGCGGTACGATCGATAAATCCGATATCTGGTAAAGTGATATCTTAACGAGAATTCTAGACGAACGATAATCGAGTATAAAGTACCAATAATGACACTGGTCGATACTCGAAGCTACGTGAAAGTCGACCATCGGCGACTCACACGCGGCAAGCCGGGGGAAAATTTTCATCGGAAAAAGACTTGGACGGGATTGTTTATGCCGTTAATGGCTCTAAGTTCACGTCTGCTTTATGGTCTATCGGAGAATTTTTGTTTCGTAATAATATCGCAATAACTCGGAAAGGCGTGTAATTTAATTGAGGCATATTTTCTTCCACTCTTCCGCGGATTGATTTCATTAATAGCTACCGGGTTCTTGCATCGTCACTCTTATAATCGTACCGTTGACAACCCCGATGGAACTTGCTTAACAGCGCGCTTATAAAACCGGACTGGTTTTCCTTTTAATTTGCAAGGTCCCATAATTATGTAATTATACCTTTTTCACTCTGACCGTGGTTCATTGGCTGGTACAGTAGCTTACACGGTATAGCGAGGTCCTGTATTGAAACAACTGGAGGGACTTGTTAAAGCTGCGACAGCCAGAGTCTAAACTAAAAAGCTCCCACAGATAAGCTTCAACAGCTGATTAATTTTTCAATTATCTGGATTTATTTAACAATTTATTAATAACTTTTTTATATTACGAAGATCGAATGCATCGACGTGTATAACGATTACTGTACATCGTGCACGATTATGATTAAAATGATTAAAAGTTGTATCATTATGTTGTATCATTATATCTTTATATAGTCTATTAAGGAATAGCTGACTCGAGTGCCAAGCAACCAGGAAAGACCTGGTTAACGATGGATAGTCTTTCGAGTTAAGCGTCGCCTATTAAGATTCATGGAAAGATGAGTGCCGTTGATTTTCAATCAGGCGGTTCTATCCAATTTCCGGATCTTCCAAGACTTTTACGAGTAGTCCAAACCTGGTCCACTAGTCTGTTCATCTTTTAGCCACTTGGTCAAGTGTGTAACGTGATCAGAGTCCATCCTGTGATCAGTTAGTTGCCAGTTTCTTCAGAATTATTCCTTCCTCTAGAAGTAGCGAGGTAATCAAGTGACCACTGTTGACGTTTCTAGAGAGATTTTCCCACTGACGAAGTTCGCCTCTGCGGTTAGCTGGTGGTTAGAAAATGGTCACTGGTTGATCACTAGCTTGTAGCTTTCTCCAAAATCATGCGTGGCGAGTGCTGCGACCACTATGGATGCTGCTGGGCAGTTTTTTGCGCGCACTACGTCCATCTCTATGGTGAAATCAGTTGTGACACCAGTGTGGTCGCTATCTCCATCCGTTCGTGGTGACTTATCCCAGCACTGTGGCATCGTGGACGTTTCTAAAGGAACTCAGTTGGGTTCCACCCACAACGATGCGTGTTAATTATTTCGCTATTGTTGGACGTCTCTGGTCGTTCTTCTAGTCCGGCTTCTAGCGCATACGTGGAGCTGGTAGGATTAGTCAAAAGAACCAAAAAGTGAGAAATTCTAGCAATAAAAGTATGATACTGGCTACGAAGATAACCATAGGAATTAAATAGCAAGAAAAGGAATATTGTAGCAATAAAATGAAATGCACAAAGAAATTCAGGCAATAAAAAGTAGTGCAAAGGTAATAGCATCGAACCACGAGCAAATAGGGTACGGAACATTGGAGATGAATTCGAGATACAAATTCTTAGGATTCTAAGAAGCATATGCTAGAAGTCTGAGAATTTAAATAGGATGGAGTTGGCCTATACGGCACTGCGAATGTGGAAATGTGACACGATATCCTCGAGCTATATACCAGTGACCGTAGATAGTGCACATACGCGTGTGTTGAGCGCAAATGTATTGGTACCGTTACTTCCGGTCCAGCGCGCAAATATATTAGGATATGCAATCAACCACATATCACTCCGTGCATACGAATACCTATCTCCTTGCACGAGTATTCGATCTTACGAACGATTCCGACTTGCTTTACCTACGTCCACGTCTAGCAGAACTTCCTCCAGTGAGCAAGGAACTTTGAATGATCTCGAACAAATGCTGTCTACAGATAAACAATTAAAATACCGAGTCTTTAAAGATAAATTTTTCCCCTATCTCGAGATAAAATGACAGATAAAATTATTTTTCAGCTTCGTCCAAGAATTCGCTTCACCTCCAGCCGATGGGATTACGCTGCTCCTAGAGACACTTCGTGGCGTACAGCTGGCCCAAAGTTCACCACCCTCTTCCGGTCACACAGGTCCAAGAGTCGGAACCAGAAGAGCCGCTCTGGACGAGTTGGGTTGCGTGGAGTGTCTAGCTGCCTGCACCGAACGATGCACCGATGCACCGAGGCTCCTAGTGCAAGCTCAACCCGGTCTTCTTGCTCTGGCAGTTTGTCTGACTAGTAGCTTGAACCGGTCTCGAGTCCTGGCTCTCCAGGTAACAATCGTCACTTCCGTTCCTAGTACAAACGTCGGTACTGTTAGTCAAAAACGATCTCGGTTGCGATCATACGTGCAATATCGCACTCGTCTCTTACATCCCTGGACTCTGGACAGTGTCGCGTGGCCTATGCTTGCATCTCTCGTGTGGATCTCGTCGTATATCGATCGTGTATTAACGTCAGTGTTGAATAGACGAAAAAATGGACAGTTAAGTATGTGCACTTTAACCCTTGCCTTCGTGTAATCTCGTAATATCAGCAATGGCAATATTTTCTCCATTCGTCGATATTTTGTCGCCCACTTATCGCGCTTTATCGTTTTGCAAATAGATCCATGTGTAGTCCGTGTTGCTTGAAAACTTACCGTGATAAAGTTGATCGTGGTTTCCAAGCCGTAGCGGAATGCATGATTAACAGGAATGGCTGAAAAATAATAAGCAAACCCGATGGGGATAGTGGGTCAGGCTTCTGCCACTTGGCAAGGTGCTCGCTTCTTGCGTATCTGACCCATTCAGATAGTCGTAAATGCTCGTTTCCAGCAAACTCGGTCCACTTGACGGCCGGGGACCCGTTATTTCGAGAGTGTACACGATCGAGAACCAGTTTTTATCATCTATCCAAACGTTATTCGGCCGGCTCCATTTGCAAACTCATACACGCCCCTATACACTGCCAACGTTTTTATTTCCTACGTCCGAGGAAGTGCACCTCGCGAGCATCGCGGTTACGATCAGATGTTGACTAACCGAACTGGATAATTACTTCCACGGCACGTGATCACGGAGTTACAACGTTGGAAGAATATAATGAGAATAACGAGATCGTTATCCGGCCGGTGAGGAACTGTCGGCAAGACTTAGTTGCCGACCAAAGTCTACCGCGAAAACCTACGACATTTATTGTTCTTTCGTCATACGTAACGATTAATTGCCAGTGCCGGTTTAAGTTTATTCTCACAGCAATCTTGAGGACTCGCTGCGGAGAGAGGAACGAGTTCGAGAACCACTCGAACTCGAGAGTTGGCCAGGTTCACCTCGGACAATTTCCTTCTTCCAGCTACTGACCAAGGTTTGCCAGACACCCGGTGGCCACGCGATAGTGTCGGAAGCTGTGTCCACGTTGAGGTTAAAATACGGCGAGGGTGGACGATTCCGTTTCCTGGCTGGTGCTCTCCTAGCTCCCAGAGCAGCCATTGCACTGAGAGTCGCAGGAGTCTCGTTTCTGAACGCCTTCCTGAAATCTGCTCCACGAACGCAAACCAGATTATATATTCAGGTAACGTAGACGAATCGAAAGTTCAGTTTTCTAGGCATACAGTCGAATGATTTCTTTCGCCATTATTTCGTATGACTTTCACGACCAGTAACGTTCCGTTTATTCGCTATTAGGCTGAAGCCTGCGAAGCTGGACTAGAGCCGCAGGTCCTTCAAGAATGGCTGAAAGAATTGGACGGCAGGGAAGAGGACGCTTTAAACGATCTTCTACATAAGGAGGTTCAGAAATGGTCGCACAACTGCGTGGACGTGGACGCCCTACAGCGAAGAGTCGTACGTGCCGAGGAAACTTGCAGGATTCTCAGCAAAAAGGTTTCGGCTCTGCAAACGCAGCTTCAGCAAATGCAACTGGAGAAGTTGAACAATTACAACCTGGAGGATCGTGAAAAGATGACGGTACTGGGCACGAAGCAGTCGCCGAAAATGTCCTCGAACGCCGAGGATGAGGGCATCAGCTCGTCCGAGAGATCCAGCAGCCCGGAGAACACGAAGCATCAGTCGCGAACGAACCATCAGAAAGTGAACTCGTCTCCGGACAATGATCAGGAAACGACGATCGATGACGTGATCGAGGAGCTGAGAATCATCGTGAAGGATGCGGAAGAAGAGATCGGAGATAAGAACCACGAGCAGAATCAGATGGATAGATCGGAGCAGGATTTTTACAACGAGAATTCCTCAAAGGCGAAGTTACATAGGACTAGCTCAAAGGTTTCGTTAAATAATTCTGAAACATATATTTACGACAAGGTTCTGAAAAGAGATCATCAAATGGATGGCAAGATCGCAAAGTCCAACACGAGTTCCAACGTCTCTCAGAGCGTGATCAAAGGTGAACAGGTAACTTACTTTGGCAATGATCGAGATTACAGTACAGATTCCAGCGGTGGTAGAAGAACGAACGGAGACACGCGTAGAGTTTCCAAGTCCTCGGTGGAAGGAAGCGTGAAGATCGTTGTAAAGGGACCCGACGTCGAAGAGGCAATCGTTCCAACTATTCTACATCCCCAACCTCCTAGGAGGTCACCACCTTGTTTGTCAGCCATCATGGCAGTGAGGCATTGTGACTTCGATCAAGAAGAGGTATTTAATTCTCACGATGAAGATATCGAAGAGGAAACCTTGGGCGATGGTAGCGACTCTCTCCTTAGCGCTTCTAGACTGAAATACAATGGCAAAAATCAGACTTACGAGGAACAGATAAAGACCACCGAGATCGATCATTTTCAAAAGCAAAGCAACAGGAAAGAAACAGAAAGCAGCGTCGATGGTAAGTTGAAGAAGAGCTTCGACGATCTTCGACGATTCAGTGAAAGCGAAATAAAAGATAAGAAAACGATTAGAAACTACGAAACATCGTGTAACGTGAAAAGTAGAACGTCGAATGAGACGAAATCGAACAACAGGCAAACAGACGGGATTTCCCAAAGACACAGCACCAAGTATAGAAGCGAAGTGGAAAAGAGGAAGCTTCTCCGTAGATCGGCGAGTCACGATTACCTTGAATCAAGTGCCTCCAGCCCGCGATCAAAAAGATCCAACAAGAGCAGAGTGGAGACTCATATCAGGAAGTTCGAGAGTCTGAATTCGTTCGATGATCATCGCAGTCTTCAAAGCTATGGGAGACACGGTAGCTCGGAAAATTTGAGCAAACAGGAGCAGTTCTTCGCAGAAGAGAGTTCGAAAAGTAGAATGCGCAGATCTGAGTCGTTTCACCATGTATCTCACATAGCCAAAAAGGATCAGTGTTCCTCTCAAGGTGGAAGCGACAGTGGATTGTTCTACGTCACGGACTTCAATCTTGAACCTCTGGTAACGCGGAGACCAAGATCCATCGAGGCTCCAAAGTCTCCCAATCTGTTAACAAAGTCGTTGGATAGAATCGACGAAGGTCTGGACTCGATGATCGATATCGTGATCATGGAAGAGAAAAGTCAATGGAGTTCGAATAAGTATCAGTCCAAGACGAAGAAGCCTCGAGAAGAAAGAACGCTTGTTAGATCCAAGTCGAGCAGGCTGGAAGATTCAAAAAGTTGCTTCGAATTGGGCTCCAAGAGCAGAAAGGAAGAGTCGAAATGTAAACACCTGAAAAGCGACGAATATTATTCTGGTCACGCGAGCAACAAGCAATTGAGAAGTGACGAATTGTACGAGGAACAGAGAAACCGAGAATGGAATGAGCTTAATTCCTCTAGGAAGCACAATGAATTGGACTTTGACTGCACTCCAATGATACTAATGAAGAATGGTGTAAGACACAATTCATTCTGTCAGAATGAAAATATTGGCAACAGGTTCTCAAACAAATCAATGGATTCGGGCATTTTCGCTGGACGAACTTATGACACATTTGGATTAGGAAAGAATCGATTTAATGCTGGTAAATATTCAGGGAACCAGCAGATGAAAGAAAGTCCAATTGGAAGAAGAAACACGACCTCCTCTACAGGTGGAAATCGTGGAAAAGTTACCGACGTTGTTTCGGGACTTTATTAAAATTAATTTTATCCGAGATATTGTATTATACATTGGAATATGCTCTTGTACAAATTTAAATTACTAAAGAGCTTTTATACGAATTTTTCTTCTTACATTTTGCAAGCGTTTTGTATTTCTTTCTTCATCTTCGATGCGTATAAACATTAAAATTAAAACGTAATATCTTTAAGTTTATAGTACTTATCTTAATTCGCAGTTAAGCGAACACACTACTTCAGTGCAATGCTACTAAGTATTATCGGCCACGTTTACAATCTAATTTATATTGTAATTAATGCTGTTGATAAATGTGGTAAACATGCACGTTTCAGCATGAAGATTGGTATTTTGGTGATGGACCAATTACATGATTTTAGTGGATTGTGCAATATATTCCTTTTTATAGATAAGTATATACCTCTGTAATTATATTGCGTTAAAGAAAAGACTGTAATTTATAAACATTTACATAAGCGTGTACAAATAATAACACACAAATATTTACGCGATATATTATTTATTTTTTATTGGTATAACAAATGTATAAAAAACAAGAAATACAACATGTTTCATTTATGTATACAAAGGCACATGTATTTACGTTCTAACTGATATTGCACAACTTGTTATATATTCCATTTTCTTAAATGTAATTTAATAATACTGAAAATTATCGAACAACGTTCTACAATGTGTGCCACTACTTTAATCAAGTGCAAAAGTAAAATGTTCATGCAACTCGTACATTTTTGTAAAAAAACAAGCGAAGGAAGATGTTTGAACAAAATTTTCAAAAATATATCTAAATTTCATTTTTCGAAAAGTTCAAAGCAAAATCCTTCAAATTGGAAATATTATTTATTGTTTAGCTAGCTGTAGCATGTAACAATGTAGTTGTAACTTCACTGAGTTCATGAAATGAATGACCATTTCGATGAATAATTTCCGGACTACCTAACATTAATGGTTCACGCGATTTGTCACGAGTTATTTCCAAAAGTTGTTGCGATGTTTTATCTAAAAATAGTAAACGATTAAAGGAGATAAGTGTAAGCTCATTTAACATACTTATATTACCTTGATGCGTCGATAATAAGTACGATAGTTCATCTTGGGTAGAAATATATTGAAACTCCTCTCCACAAGCTCCCTTAAGTACGGCAATTACATCTGATCTTGGATTGTAAAAATATAGACCTTGTTTCCGATTGTTAAATTCACTTACTAATGTTGCTATTCCCTATAACCAAAAATTATTTTCGTAAGTATCGATTCATTATCTTATTACTTAAATTTTAATTATTTAAATCTCTACTTTTGCAGCAGTGAAGTCAGTTCCTAAGATATATCTGCAATCAACTACAACTGGAACTTGACTAGAACCTTGTTTTATACCGGCATTGCCGACGGATTTTTTAATAAAATCTATGGCTGGGAAATAAAGACTGTTTCCTGGTGTCACTAACAGATAGTCAGCCCCAGATATAGTCTAAAATATATAAAATTCACGTATGTTTACAAGAATAAAATTTCATAACTTTACTTACCCATTTTTCATTTATTACTCACTGTACACTTGTCAACATGTATTGTAGGACGTGCAGAAGGATATAATAAGAATATAAGATTTGTTCCTACACCTAATAAAATTCCATATTCAACTCCTATGATCAAACAGAACAAAAAGGTAACACACATTGGAATCAAATCCTTTTTGCTAGTTTTCCATATGAGCTTTACCACTTGATATTCTATCATGTATATTACTGCACAGATAATGACTGCAGATAAGGAAGCTAAAAACATAATGTTCGTTTAGAGATATTAATATACAAATTATGAAGAAGATACAAAAAATTATGTTACCCTTTGGTATAAAATAGAAGTACGGAGTAAGGAGGCTCAGTGCCAGCAGTATTAATATTCCAGTATATAAACCACCCATTGGTGTTTTTACACCACTAGCATGATTCACTGCAGATCTACTAAAAGAGCCAGTAACTGGCATTGCACTCACACAAGATCCAAGAACATTACAAATTCCTAATGTAATTAGTTCTTGAGTGGCATCTACTTTATCACCATTTGCAAAAGCTTTTGCTATTGCTACATTTCCAAGAACCCCAATTATAGGTACTAATGCTATAGATGCTCCCAGTTCTGAACACATTACAGTGAAACTTAAAGTCTCATTTCTTATTTGAGTTGAAAAAGGAGGTAAACCAAAAGATGGAAGACCAGATCTTACAGGACCAGTAAGAATGAATGGAGAACCATGTTCAACAGAATTCAATTTGTATGCAATAGTAGAACAAATTATAACTATAACAGCATTTCTAGCTGTTGATAATAACCATATCAATTTTATCAATATCCTTTGATATTTAGTCGGTTTCTCATTATTCGAATATAATTTTATATCTTTCATTTTCTAAACAATGAAAACAGCTCATTTAATTTTTATGACTATTTTAATAATCTAACTATAACTATAAATAATAATTATCTTGTATATTACCCTAAACAATAGCAAAATTATAATACAAGAAAGACTCATCCCAGTATCCCAAGGACTAGTCTGATGAATATTTTGTAATACTTTTGTCAAAGTATCTAAAAATCCTTGGGAAGAAATCTTTAATCCTAAAAGGCCCTTTAGCTGAGAAACCACAATTATAACTGACGTTGCAGAAGTAAAACCAACCGTGACTGGTATTGAAATAAAATCTATAAGTACTCCTGTAAAATAGTTTTGCAATTTAAAGTAAGTATTAAATAACACTATCTTGCTTAAACTTTGAAAGAGTAATATAACATGTTACCTAATCGTAAAAAGGCCATTAGTAGTTGTAAGCAACCACATAAAAAGGCTAGTAATATTGCAAAATCCGCATTTCTACCCTGTACATATTCATGAGTCATTAATGCCATAAGAGCAGTGGGTCCTATTGTGATATCTTTGCATGAACCAAATATTATGTATACCACAGCTCCCATAAATGCAGAATAAAGACCATACTATAGAATATATACATTTTGTTATTCTACAAGTAAATAATTTTAAATTTGTTCAGGAAAAAAAAAAAAAAATTGTTCACCTGAGGTTCTAGCCCAGCTAAAGTGGCATAAGCAAGTCCTTGCGGCATAACAGTAAGCCCGACGGTAATACCAGCGATAGCATCGTTTAAAAATTTTTCAGAATTGTAATTTGGCAACCATCCAACAATTGGTATTCGCTTTTTAACAAATTTACTCAACTGTCCGCCTTTCGACTGCCATCTTTTTTTATTTATTGCTTCAAGAGCCATTATATATTATATACCTTTAGGGAAAATTGAAAGCCCGGGTAATTTAAACAGTGAATAAATATCTTAAAAAATTGTGATTTTTTAGTCAAATACTAAATTAAATTATTCGTGCCATTTTGGAAATAATTTTCATGGTTAAGAGTGCGAATCCTTTTCTGTGAAAGTTGATACTTTCACTGCAGCGCAGCTTCTTACGCGCACTTACGTCTTTCGAATATTCACCGAGTTATCATATGTCGTGATATCATGAGAAACAGAAAAACATCTATTTAAGTTTACGGTGTTCACATTTCACGATATAACGAGGAACTGAAAGAAACCGAAGGTCTTTCGGGTGCTTATATACCCAGATACAATGCGAAATTTATCTCACGTTTGTGGAGGAAAAATCGCTACTAGCCTTCATACTTTTTGCGTGCATCGCGAATAATACTAATCCTTATTCAGTGTAAAATAAGAATGTATATGGATAATCTTATATTTCAGAAATTCCAGAAAGTGTGATAATACGTATTCTTCGCAAAAACAAATTTATCTATATCTCTATGAAAGTTAGTCTTTATGAACTGAATTGACAAAAAAACTAATCATTGAAAAAGTTACAAATCTAGAGCGGGAATAATATGTTGAATGTTCCAGCTATCTCAGTATGAATCATTATATTAATTTTGTTTAGCATCTTAATTCGATACAAGACGGACTTATACGAATGTCGGTAAAATATGTTAACAATCGTGTAACTTCAATAATTGCACAACAAAACTCATAAAATAGACGATTTTAATTTCAGCTGCGTTTAAGGTTACAGTAAGTGAAGGTGCTTTTTTTGCTATTTTACGTATCACTGAACACTTTGGCTGTTCCAATACAATATTTCACAACATCCTTCTAACACCATTTAACGCAGCCGGCTTTATTAAAGGGCCATAACTACTTGACTCTTTTCATTGACAATGAATGTACATGAGTTAAAAAAGTATCACACGGTCATATAAATAAGGTTTGTACACTTGTTTTCATAAAGCAAACAACTTTAATTGTTATAATTTAATTTTAACATATGCATCGAAAAAGAAATACATACCGAATATACGATGCAACATATGTGATAACATACTTCCATCGAACGCAACTAGTAGGACACACAGTTAGTTATTGTAAAATGTTATATTTTTACGTGTCATTTTCTTTATGAAAATATCGATCACGTATGAAAACAAGCATAACCTATTACACGTTGTCAGCTAGTACGGTATCATGGTTTTTATAACTTCATTGCGCAAATTTACAAACGAAAAATAGCAATACTACTCTCGTTTCACTGCACGATCATATACGCGCGGAACACGATCTTACTATAAACTGAGCGTATGAATCGGCATTTCGTTTGTGATGGTAGAGAGAAAGCACAGTTCGCATATTTGTCAATAGAGGGACTGCATTTCTACTGCAGTCGGTAATTTAGGGCGAACAAATTAGGTTTGTTGTTTCATCGAGTGACAACCAATAAATTTCCAGTGATTCAAAATGTCCTTGAAGAGGGGTATTATTTAAATTTTGAAAACTTATCAGTGATTTAGAATAACAACTTTTTGACAGATAGTAATTAGAATTAAGATTATTGAGCGTCGAACGATTGGAAAAAGATGTACAATGAAAAGACTACATAAAAGTTACTTTTTTCTTATTCACTTTGAAAATTTTTCTTTCGTTTGCATTTGCGCATCCTCCTGTCCATCAGTATTATGGCGTCCTTTACGGTAGTCGGTTGTTCCTTCTAATCTCTGTAAATTAAATGGAAAAAAATCTTTTGCTGCAAAAGATTCTGGTTTAACACTTTGGTTGCCATCAGAAAATTAAATATACGGTAACTGGATAATTTATCATTCTTGTAAATAATCGTAACATTATTTCCAAGTTGAAAATTTACAAGGATATTGTACTTGTACAGTGTCAATTGCGTCGTAAATGTAATTATTGTAATTGTTTTTTATATTCGCATTAGCTAAGTATAAAATGTACCTAATATACATAAATTTATTGGACAAACTGTTTGTTCCCTTTATTGTAAATTTGATGTGTCGTTCGTAGAATAATTTAAGAATTTTGATACCGAGTATCATATTATGTCGAACGATTATGAAAATTATATTATCTTTAATCTTTGTATCTTTTCATTATTTTATGTTTGGTGATATTATTGATTGTTATCATCTGTGTTTGGTGTTGGGATTATACCTGATATTTCTGTAGCGTTTAGACTTTTATGAGAATGTGTTACTTTAATCTAGAATCTGTATGAAATAATATTATATTATTTTTTTTTTTATCAAGAATTATATTTAGTTTTTGTAACTAAATTTGTAATAGGTAGAATGGATTCCGCTGATACAGATTTAAAAAAGACATTTGATATAAAGCAGATGGCCTTAATCAACAAGATACATAATATGCATTGGCTACAAAGTAATTCTCAGTTATCAGGCCAGTACGTTTATATCTATTTTATATATTTTAGTTTGTTTAGTTCCTTTTATTTTTATATTATTTCATATCATTACTTTAATAACTATTCCTTTTATTGTAAGAGCTTTAATAAAATATGATATTCAAACAAGTGGGATGTATTTAATTAATGTTACATATAATTCTATTGTTAAGTACCATTGTGATTTCCTTTGTTATACAATAAGTATTATAACCTTATAAGAAAGTGATATTAATCGATAATATAGTTGTTCATGTTCAAGTGTGAAGTATTTGGAAATTATCTGTAAATGTATTTCCTAATGTTTTGTATTTGTCTTTATATTATAGCGCAAAAACACTTCCAGGTGGAAAAGAAATCATAAACCATACATTCAACAGTAAAATAAATGAAGGAACAAAAGAAAAAACTGAAGTTGTTTCAACTAACACTCTATCAGACACTCCTGAATTAGATAAAATTGATTCTATTTTAAATAAAGATATAAATGAAAATAATAATTCTATAAGCAAAGATACACTTCAATCATCTTCAAAAATTATTGATTTTCCTCAACAAGATATGGAGACTGTTTGGAACAAAGATGTTAACGTAACTAATGCAATGTTCCCAAATTCTCAATCTTTAGTAATGCAAAGGCTGGATAAGCAAGAGATGATTGGTATGTCTTTGACAGAGAATGTTGTTACAGTTCAGTTAGAACAATTTAGAATTAATGAAGAGGAAAACAATAAATCTGACGAATTGCATAATGAAGTTGATAATGAATGGTATGTAACAGATTAATTTAAGAAGTTATTATATTGCTATTGATTTTTGTGTGTTATGTTTATACTATTTATATAATTAGGGATAATGGACAGCATAATATATCAAACTTACCAAAGTCAAACAGTGAAGTAGGTAATCAGGTAAGCTCAAAACAGTGTCATGACAACAATAATAATAATGAAAGATCTAAAAGTCAGTCTCCACTGGAAACAAAAAAAAGTATACAAAAAACAACTACAAAAATTAGTACTAAAAAATTGAATGATCAAAAAGTTAAAAAACAAGCAGGTAAGAGTTACAGCTTTTATTGTAATATTGACAAGAGAAATTTGAAATTAAAAAACCATTTCTCTGTTTGTAGGTAGTTCTTTAAAGGAATCTTGGATCCCTTCAAAACAGGGTTCTAAATCTAAAGATGATTTATTAAATTTATGTAATGATAATAATCTAACTTCAACTTCTCTGGATTCAAAAAAGGTAGCTGTAGGAACAACACCTAAGCTTATTGATAAATATAGTAAAGTCAATAATTATAATAAAAATTTAATCATGGGAAAGGGGACACGAATGAAGGAGCAACAATTTTTTAAGCAACATTTTTCTACATTTAATGATAATGGTAATAGAAGTAGATCCTCCACGGAAGGATTAGATGAGAAAAGTAAATCTGTTGCAACTAAATTAAAACCAACTAGAACTGAATCAGACAAAAAAAGTAATGAAGTAGATGATATTAAAAAATGTCATAAGGTTCAAGTAATGCATACTCAATCGTATAATGTCCAATATAATAGAAATAAATCTGTAATAAAATCACACCAACGATATTCAAGAAATGCAACCAAGACAGAAGAGAATAGTTGTATTACTAATCCATCTGGTTTCAATGACAGTATTAATGTGTCTAATTCTACTGAGAATATATCACAGAAGAAATGTGAAAACCAACAATCCTTAATAAATAAGCAAATTAGCAATACACAATCCAGTCAGAGCACTTCGGGAAAAAATACAAAGAATTCAATTGTTACAGAATGCAGTATGAATGAAAAAAATTCAGTAAGAATAAAGTCAAGTTCTGTATCATGCAAAAGAAGTTATCAAAATTTATCTAATACAAAGAACAACACTGAAAGAAATATTAAAGATGATCAGACATATGCACAGAAATTTAAAAAAGATTCTAATGTTTATAGGCGATCATCTGGTATTCTTCAGACATGCTTCAAAGATATTAATGGAAGAGCGAAAACAGACGATCAGAAAAGAAATATTACAGAAAATAATTTAACAAAAGATTATAGAATAAATCGTATTAGTTCAGTAGATACAAAAATGCGTTCTCAATCTGAAGGCTCAAAAATAACTGTATACTCACATAAGACAAGTAACGGTGCTAGTAATATAAAGACTGATACATTAGATTCAACTGCTGTAAATAATGTACAGTCTATAAAATCATTAAATTCTTTTTCGAGTAGTACCAAAGATTGCACAATTATACATACATCTACTCATACACCACAAGAATCACAGATTTCGCAAGCTTCTTGTAATGAAACTGAAGTACAATTTGTGAAGACTGAACAAGAAGATACTAGTAATAATAATAGCAATAATAAAACAACTAGTAATTCCGAAACGAAATCAGTTAAATTTTTGGATAACATTCAGGAATTTAATATGCCACATCATTCTGCAACATCATATTCTGATAATTCTATACATCAAAACAAGCTTCCAGCAAATGCATTTTATTCTGATTTACAAAATGTATCACACACAAGTAATACTCAACAAATTGAAAACTACCAAAATGTACAAAATAAAAGTTATTTCGATAATAATAATGCTCAATATAATAATACAACTACCAGCAATCAGAATACTGAACGAGATTTACATCTAATGGATTTAGTGCAACAGAAATCAGAGCAAACTTCACATGCATCACCACATAGTATATTACAACACAATTCCAGTCCAGTTATTGGCATGGGAAATGGTTTACCTTACCAGAATATGCCTGGTGTCTATCTAAATCAGTATAATAATGCACAAACTATACCAAGAAAAACAGCTGACAGTACAATTATTTCACAAAATGCATTAATTCCAAGTACCTCATCTTATACAGTAGAAAATCAGAATATCTTGCAAACTGACCCTTCCAATATTTTAATGCATACTACTCAAACATCAGTTCTACCACCACCGGGTTTTCATAATCATCCTATAACTACGCAACATAATCAGTGGAATTTACCACCTCAAGATATGTTTCTTTTTGGAAATGTGATGAATCCTGCGCATTCTCTGAACATTCCAATTCAGAATTCCAGGCACATGTGTAATGCGGATTTCAACAACATTCAACAAACGAGTTACGTACAACAGCCGTTATTTTATGTTCCACCATTGTGCATGCAAAGCTGGAATCCAATGGTACAATATCCAGCACCTTTATTCCAAAATTCTCCATACAGCAATTGCAATACATTTCCTAATCAAGTATTACCAGCAAATAGTTTGACGAACTCTATGAATTGTCCTGTATCGACGTCTATGCAGAACAATTTGTATAAACATTTCCAGCAGATGCAACCTTTGGAAAATGCTTCAAGCTTCTCTGTTCCTGTAAAACTTGACAATTATATGGGAACTATGCAAGGTTCGAAAACAAATAACAGGATGAAGGATAATACTATGGACGTTCACATGAGAGCTAGTCAGTATCGAGCACCTGTGCCAAATGAATATCAAAACTGTTCTCAAGACAGTCAACTAATGGTACCATTCTCGTATCCGGTTACCATGGATCCCATTGCAAGGAATGGTTCATCGAATATGCACATGCAGATGAATCATAAGTACGCGCCACGCGCACTTAATAGCGGTTATCAAAGAATTCCGGAAACCGGTCATGTGTTTCATAATAATCAGGACTGTAACAACAGAAATGACGACGTATCGAAAAATGATTCCGAGTGTATACCTCCTATGGTGTCACCAAGGGAATGTATGTATTACGGAGTTAGTTATCCACGAAAGACTAATACAATTCAAAATTCAACTGTACGGTCAGATGTAAAACCCGTAACTTACAACATGCACTCTGTTAACACGCAACATTACGTCCCTCACTTTCAAAAGAATACAGCTTACCATGGATCACAAAAAGAGCTTTCATCTAGGCTAAATATGGGACGTAGCGTGCGTAAAATGATGGATCAATAAGCCTAGGAAAACGGCTAGCAACAATACCATACATATACATTTATTTCTTGTTTTTGGCAGATAATTGCAGTTAAGCGGTACAAAAAATAGTTACATATATAACTTACGATTTTTCATCTGTTTGTATCATCGTTATCTTTATATATGTATATGTACATGTATGTATATCGTAAAAGTCAGTTTTTTAATTAATCTAGATATAATATCACATACATCGTACTAGATGTCACGCACTATTAGACGATAGTTTTCAAAGTTGAGAAGCTTTAAAAGAAGTTTATATGATACTGCCATTTGTCGAAAATATTACGCGATAGTTCATCTTGTTTCCTATCGTAACAGTGTGAAAGTAGCAAATCTATTTTCTAGATTTTCTTCAGATATTTATATCCACATTATTACTAGACATTGATGTTACTCGTTACTTGAATTCTATGTACTTCTAAAGCAATAGACGAACGCTTGTTTCGAAGGGTTTCGCATCGCGTAATTAACGCGAAGTGGCGATACACGATAATTAGATGCAAATTTGCAGAACACTTTTTAAGTTCCTACGATCGAAAGTATTATAACAGTTTAGCATTTAGTTCACGTTATGAACATTTCAGTTCTTCCTTTTTCTTTTTTTTTCTTAATTAAATTCTCCGATACGTACATGTATATCATTACGATGATGGTTTAAACTTTAATTGCTTATAACGTTAAATAATTTAGTTTTCAGGATTTAATGTCGATACATAATTTTCTTTACTTCGTCGTTTCATTCTGTGTCATTCGGAAGCAGAGTTTTATATAATATATATATTTTTGTTTAAATATTACTTATATTGTTAAGAAATATCATATAGTTTATTTTTCGAGGACTTACAAGTTTTTACAAAATAAAACGTAAACTTGCCATATTTGGTAGATGTTACATATATATATTATATATGTAATATATATATATATATAATCCCTGGACATATTCTGATATGCATTTATAACCACAGTATTATTCTTTCATCTATATTACGAAATTGCACGTGTCAATAGAATCTCTTTGGAATAGAAAAAATGTAATTTCTGATAAACTATATCATTGCTGGCCGATTCGTATATCTTTATAAAAAATTATTAAAAAAAAAAGTACGAATTATCATACAGTTCATATATACACCATAACATGCGTTAATGTTCATTACGATTTTATACGATGTCGTTGATAGTCTTACAATTCAATTTCAATATATATATATATATATTTGAAAAAAAGAAAAAAACCGAAAAAAAAAAAGATAAAAGAACCTGTAGAAATTCTAAATATTTTTTCGAATATCCAGCTGTCTCTGATATCTCTCGAATTTCCGTTACTTAAATTTATAGTTCGACTTAAAGCTTCGTACTCGTAAGTTCACTTCTCGCACCACTGGTAGTTGTTCCATTTGACATATCTATTACCTCCGCACCAATTTCTTTAATTGCTTTGGTCGTGTTCAATTCTTTCAAAGCTGCTACGAGCTCAGCATCGGTATTAACCACTTCAATCGTTTCCTCGCAGAGCGATTGCACGCTCTGTAAGATTTCCTTGGAGGGTCGCAGCATTATCAAATGATGATTCTTTTCCTTGAAATCTCTCATTACCATATTTAATCCCTGTAAATGTTACAAATTGAAGAGTTTGAACAAATTAACGAAATGTGTTCAAATCTGTCCTAGATCTTACATCTTTGAGCGATTGTTGAGCAATCGAGTTATATTTTTTCTTCGTTATCGTCGTAACATAAAAGTCTCTACTTCGCTATTTTCTCTGTAAACAGGACAAAAAGGAAAAAGAGAAGTATGTTTATAACATTGATGTAAAAAGGAAGAAGGCTCGAAGAAGTAAAATCCAGGCCAAATTCGAAGCCCCGCTACTTAAGATTATTATCCGTACACGCGCCGCAGTGAAATCAATTTTATCGATGTGCTTGCAGTCTAGAATGACATTTTTCGTGTTCTTGAAGGTTTTCAGTAATTTATGGTGATCATTAGCTAAGTTCTCTAACAGGTACATCCTCAGGTAATCCACCGCTGGGAAAAGCAACCCGGCGCTGGGACGCACGAGGATGTAGTTTAACGTAGGAGTCTGCGGTGAAAATGGGGATATTTTTAAACAATAGCAATCTCTTTATCAAGTCTTTGTCAATCATTATTATGTACTTACATTTCTGTATTCAATATATATTGTCGGCCTGGCGTTAAAATAAATTAATATTGCCAGATCAATCGCCACTCCTATTAAAATTCCCAATTCGACACCGGCGAATAAGCATGCGAAGAATGTTGCGAAAGTCGGGATCAGATCTCGTTCTGGAATCATGTTTGCAAATTAGATGATTCCGAAATGTCATTAACAATATAATATCATTAACATTCTTCGAATGAACTTCACGTAGCTCTATAAGTTCCATTTACAAGTTTCACTTGCCATTTATCACATTAGACTCTGTATCGTATTTTATTTATTATATTTTATGTTACGTTCAACTGATCTCTCTACTCACTGCTGCATTTCCAAATTGGCCGTATCATTTTCACCTCGACCATAAATATCACCGCGCAAACTATCACAGAACTTAAGGTCGCTCTTGGAATGTAATAGAAGTACGGCGTCAGTAAGCTTAGAGCGAGAATGACTAGAATACCTACGACAGACATTCGATTTGCATCACATTTTCATCTAAACTGATCATTTATTTTCGCGATCGTGGAAATACCATGGTTACCTGTATAGATACCACCCAAGGGCGTCCTTACGCCCGATGCGTCGTTCACGGCGCTTCTGGAAAAGGAACCCGTGACCGGCATCGAATGGAAGAACGAGCCAGCAACGTTGCATAGTCCCAAAGTTAGCATTTCCTGAGTGGCATCGAGTGACTCTCCTCGAGCTTTTGTCAACGAGTTAATTACCATTTCAAAGGATAACAAGAATACACGTTATATCATCGTTTCGGAAACTTACAAAACGCCTTCGCGATGGCCACATTCCCGATTATGGAGATCAGTGGAACGATCGCAATGCCGGTGCCCAAATTTTTGCACATATCAGCAAAAGTTTCAGTGTGATTCCCGGCAGTGATCGAGAAGGGTGGCGGAGCAACGGAGGGTAGTCCGCCGTCGATGTGGCCTGTAAGGATGAAAGGTGCTCCACCGCGATTTTCAAATATATACGACACTGCTGCGCATAAAATTACCACGAGTGCGTTTCTACCAGTTCCCAGGAACCAGGTTAATTTTCTTAAAATTCGATTCGAGACCTTGACGTCTTTGATTCTCTGGAATGAGAAGAAACTATAAAAAGGTCTTGTAATGACGGGTTCCTTTTTTCTTCTTAATTTTCTATCCTTTTTTCTTCTCTTTTTTTCTGTATTCACAGCGCGCAAGAACTAGTTTCGTCGGCGATAGCGTCCATGGTGAATTACCTTCAGGGTCAACAGTATTAGAATGCAGCAGCAAGACAAGATCAGGTCAGGGATCCTGGTACGACCCACGTTCTTGGCCAATTCTCTCCAAATCTCAATGAAACTTTCTCCGTGTATTTTCAAGCCCAGCAAACTTTTGATTTGACTGCAGGCGATAATTAAGCTGGCCGCTGATGTGAATCCAGAAACGACTGGTATGGACACGAACTCGACCAAGAATCCTAACCGGAGGATTCCGAGGACTATGGTAACGCATCCTGACAAAAAGCAAAGGAGGACAGCGTACTCGGGGATACCTCTGGAACACCATCGAAATGGGATCAGGAATTAGAGGTGTTAGAATACAACGACTGTGCAGATAATTTAGCGGATCACATTTGCGGGATCGAAGACGAAGGTGCGAATGAAACTCTGTTTATCCAAAGTTGGAAAATTTGCAAACGTTAGTCGCATCGTAAAGTGCACGAAGTTATTAAAGTAGATGGACCCTTAGCGAAGCTCAAAGGAAGTTAAAGGTACGAATTGTTCAGATTGATAGAACCCGACGTGTACTCCCACGATAATCGCGTTTCAAAGGATAAAAGCATCTTTTCAGCCACCATTAAATCGTATCAACCATGGTCCCAATTGCTCGCCATCGTGTACGTGAATTCAGCTACTGTGTCAACCAATTAAGATCGTCCATTCACGGCCTTAAGTACCGAAGGAATCGTGTTTTCGTGAGAACGTGGAACAGCTTACCTCGCGTATGTGTACGTCAGCAAAGAAATCAATGCGGTTGGGCCAATATTGACTTCTCGACAGGTACCAAAAATTATGTAAACGAAACTGCCAGCGAACGCACTGTAAAGGCCATACTGCGGCGTCAAACCTGCAAGTCCAGCGTATGCGATCGCCTGAAATTATAGTCACACTAAAGGCAAGTTTCGTCGAATTGGATCACGAATCGCTGGATCATCGTGGTCGATATCAAGACGATTCGTTTCACGGCGATAAAATCGTGAGGCTTGGAAAGTACCTGTGGTATCAGGGTCAGGCCCACCGTCAGTCCCGCAACCAGGTCACCCAATGCATCGTTGGCTCTGTACAGGGGTAACCACTTTAGAACAGGAATTCTGTTCTTCAGTAATTTCTTAACATTGAACCCAGTCATGTCACAAATATTTCCTTTCGTCTTACGAATGAGTTTTCCTCTGATTCAAACCATACGTTTCAGCACATCGTGGTAATTTGGAGTCCTGAAAATACAACGTCGGTCCAGTGATTCCAGAGTAGAAGAGTCGATTTAAATGAATGAAGAAGTGCGATCTGAAGCTGTAATCGGTTGCTCGTCATACTCGATCAGCGTGTCTTCTTACTATGCATGCAGCATCGTCTCATTAATCGAATGCAAACGTCGTTTCAATTCAGCGCCGGTGCAACAAGCCGGCAATTAACGGATGTTCGAGCGACAATTAGTAAGCGTGATAAACGATTTTTCGCGCGAGGACACGATTTAATGTCACCTGATCAATGGCCACGTGAGAGCGTTTAAGCACGTGATTCTCCAGTTTCCTCGTTAACAGTTACCACGGATCTGGTACTACGGCGTTTCACTGCACCGTTCACCACGAGGTTTTATTCCTGTTTCACTTTCCTCTGTCGCGTAGAACGCATCGCACCGAATGATTCACCACGACTTGGTGTTCCCCGAAGGATACTCGACAAAAAATGACCGCCAGTCGACGATACGTTCCTTGGGCAGGAGAAGCTTACCGATTGATGCGTCGCCTCGTACTTGCTCTATACACTGATTAAATCTACAGCTGTTTCACACGTGCCTGGCTCTCCCACCACTTTATGAACCTGCTGATATGTCCGTCAGGATGCGAACGCATGCGTCGGTCCTTTTCTAAATGAACACTGGGTTTGGCAAACGCAGATTATCGCCAATTTACCGAACAAACGTTCCTCTTTTACATAGGCTCGTATCCGGATTTTGAGTATTCTCGAGCTTCCCGTTAAATGTTCTCAATTCTGACCAATCACCCAGTGTTCTGTTTGTTTCTCGAATCGGTATTTCTCGCATCCTGTCTGTCTTATATTCATCGTTATTGCTCATCGCGATTCGATTATTTAACATGTTTTTAGACGTATTCGGCTTCGTCGAAGTGCATCATGGTGAACATCTCGCCTAGATTCTTTTATCTTCCTCGTGAATGATGTTTCATTTGATAATCGGTATCGATGACTTTTGATACTCTGTATCAACAAGATTCGATAATTTTTCTGAACAAATTGGAAGAACAAGTTAGTTGGTGATTCCACTCGTTTCTGTATATCGTTTCCTAAAAAAATTAAATTCGATACATATAAGTTTCGTGACGTCGTTGTGATTTATATCCATAGTGATACAGTTCAATTCGTATTACCGAGAATCATTCGTCGAATTTCGTTGGATCTTAAATTTCTAACGAAATGATTACTCGATATGCATTGTATCATTAGAAATATAAACTTGTCGAATTAAACGATGCAAAATCGTAACGACAAGAGTATGAAAGAAAAATTTGCGTGATCCGTGACTCGTTACAAGTGTTATCGCGATCTGCAATTACGTTTGCGATGTAAAGCGACTATAGTTTATACCTTGCGTGAAAAGTAGCGGCGCGTTAATCAGAAACAAACATGGTATTGTGAGAAATAACCAAGCCCACCGCGGGCATTCGATTGTTCTTGCAGAGAACCCGCTTCGTGGATCATCGCGTAACTTGTCGATTGCTTCGATAACGGATACATCCTGCTACACTTTTCCACGCTCTTTTCTTGCTTTTTCTTTTCGAGTATGTTTTTACCGGCATGTTTCTTGTCCTGAGAGAATGGTTGAAATTCTTATCGTTATTCGCCGAACACTGTGTGCATGCTTGTAATTACAAGGACGTTACGTGTTCTTGAACGTCGATGTGTTTTGCATGTTAACGTGGCGCGCGTAACGATGAATCTATGAAAGTAAAGCAGAAATTATTAGTGTTTTATGAACGAACGTGCCGTGAAATTGTTAGCTTACGGATCACAGAATTCCATCATAGATAGTGCCGACATTGAAACGTAACGCTCTTGAGAATTTCCATACGATTAACATCGAACAGGGAGATCGTCCTTTGAAATTTTGGAGCCACTTTGTATTTATACCAAGCGTGTTATTTGGCAGTCGAAAATATCGTATAAGCTTGCTCATTTCAGTTATGTCACTGTTATTTGTATTATGACAACCTGCAAAAAGGAATGTGTTATGTAGGCGCCTAATTACATTCCGATCTCAAAATATGTTTATAAAATGTAACGTAACGCACGTTGAAACAACTTGAGCAAAACAGTTATACATACAAGGCAGTAAATCAATTGTCATCGGATGCTTTATTGGAAAATATCGTTGAAAATGCGAGAAAAATGACGGCTCGCGTTCTTGGCATTGTATTCGAGGAGTTGGAGCAATTGCAAGGCTGAAAATAGAAATTAATTACGCGTTATTAGTTCCTGTTACCGTGTCATCGACGGTACAACTTTTGGTATCGCTTTATTGTTAACTAAGGAATGTCTAAAGCAATTACAAAGTGTTTTTATTCCAAGGAAAAATATCGTTTGTTAAAGAGAGCTGATGATGGACGTTTAAGTCAGTTAATGTTTCGAAAAATATCACGATACATGTATCTACATAATGACTAAGACTGCGACTCGAATCTAAAATTAGCTTTTTGGTCAAAAGTTCTGCAAACAAGTACAATTAAAGCTAGTTTCGTAACAGTGTGCAAAAAAAAAATGTAAATTATATTTGATTAGCTCTGATGGGTTTGATTACATCAATCTTTTTATGCGGGCATAATATTATTTAAAAATATGACGTGGGTGATAGATGCCATGGAAATTCCACATTTCTAGTTCTTTTGTCTCGCTAATTTTCTAATGTATTCTCTGCTTCGTTTGATTTAGACTTTCATACATATCCGTTTGTTTGCTCATTGCTTCAGGCCGTGTTTATATTCCTGGTTATTTGCAAGAATAATCACACGTTCCGAAAATAACTATGTTTGGTCGCAGATTAAGTATGCAAATAAAATTCGATCTAATTGCTGGAAACTGTACAATCGACTTTACGAATAAAAATTCTGCGTCAAAAATTCGAAGCGAGTATGTAACCTCGAGTAGGGTCGATCTGAAAAGTGCTCGATCGTTTCGATCGATATGTCGGTGCAAATTAAAGCGTTATGTTTTCATGAGAAGTCGTTTGAAGCCTAATCAGTAGTATTCTCGGAAATAATCGAGCACTCGATTGCAAATTGCTAGCCAGCGAACGAGAGTAAGATATATAGTGTTGTAAAATTAGAGAGATCCTTTGCATCCATAATTGAAATCTATATCTCAATTTCGTTCGTATACATGCATATGTATATGTATATGTATATTTAAATTAAAGGAGGGTAGTGCATATTTGCGTTGCATTTTCATTTTACCGGAATTGCGATTGTTATTAGCATTATGTACAATATTTGGCGAAACTTGTATGAAAACGTTATGTAAATATCTTTGTCGATACTATTAGCTTGTCTCTGTTTCAATACTTCGAGAGTGATTTAAAGAGGGAAAGAAATGGAATATTCTTTGAAAAGTGACGTGAATGGAGAATTTGTCGGAAAAGAATCTCTTATAAAAAAATCTAACGTAGCACCGAACGGAGAATTCTGTGACCAAGGCCCCGGGTTTATTTCTTAACCTGCTAAAATGATTTTAGACGAGCAATGTGAATTTTGCTAACGAAGTAAAATTATAACACTCGAACCGTGGAAGATTTACAATGGAATCTTTATACGATTTATTCTTAACTATATACGATAATACTTACGATTCTTGTTTTAAATCCATGTTTAAAATTCCTCAATACCAGGGATGTGATAACACACGTTCATTGTGATATACAGTTTTTAAAAATATTTAGTAAATTAACATAATCCCACTTAATTTATACTTCAATTATGGTTTTAATATCAGATTCCATAATTTCATTTAGATCTGCGTAGTTGAAATATTTTTTATACGACGTAGAATACATCGGAAATACGTACCTGCGCAGAAAGTGGTGCGCGGCTTGGTTCAGCTTTTTAAAGAGTAATCTTTTATACAAACGTGACTAGAAGTTCTAACCATGTCCCACGTTGTTCCATGATAAGGCTTAAAATTGGGTTAATCTAGGTCTTAATACTATAATCTCTAATTCACACTAAGCACTCAATATCCAGACGGGAGTGTTGTGAAATTTATAACTTCTAGTCAAAAATTGATTTCCTAATAGATCTGTATAACTTTGCTTTTCTAAAGATCATAATTTCCCGCTAAAATGCGTCTGCCGGTGACAGTAACGTAGAAAGTTAGGGTAGGTATTAAACAAGAAAAGATTGCCTGACAAAGATAGTACTAATAACGTTGCTAACTTCACTTTATAGTGTAGCTTCGCGCTTCTTCTTTATTAGTGAACGTGTAGAATAATAGTGGAGGTATAAGGTGAAGAAGATAAAGACACTGGAATTAATTATGGCACTTGAAGAACCAAAGCATCTTATCTTTATATATTATTCTGTTACAAGGTATGTTTCAAGTATCAGGAGTGTATAACCACTTTCATGTCTTAACCATACTACTGATCTTGTATTTTCTATATTCCTATGAACAAAGGTTGATATTTGGTCAAATTTTATGTCCTTAGTGCTGTTAGTAATATTTAGATGCATCTACGACGTTTCCTGGTTTTTATGACACAATTGATAACTGAAATAATAATTAGACTATTACGTTACATTAGTTACATATTAAATTGATTCATTAAATAATAGAAATACGCTCGAATTTCATATTAATCGAAAACTTGTAGTTTAAATTATGTCTCAATTGTTTTCGTGTTTCAATAATTCAAGCAATAAGACCATAAAAGTATTACAGCTTCTACTTGTCATCGTTTTCTGAATTATCTAATAAAGATAAATAATACAAAGAAATTAAAGTGTAAAAAATTGTTATATTAATATCTACTTAGATAATGAATTTCGACTTCTTTTAAAAAGTTGCATAAAATTTAATTTTAATTACAAACATTATGGACATTGTAACTTTATCTACTCTGAATCGGTAAAGTTGGAAATGACACTGAAATGATAACTTGGTTGAAAATTTGCATTTTTACCATTTGAAACATTCCAACTAGTTTCCTCATTTTTCCGCTAGATGGCAAAACATCCTCCATAATTAATTAATTTTATAAAAATATTCTAAATAAAGAATAAAATAAAATACGAATTACTTCATTTTGTTTTATGCATGCAAATATATATTTTTTTACATCATTTCAATATAAAAACATGATACGTTGATTTTAATGAAAATTTGTGTATAGGGGAGGATAAACGATACATGGTTAGGGTAGGTCTTCCATTCGCAGCGATTCATGGCGAGGCCTAGATAACAGATATTCTTTGACAGATATAATAATATGATATTTATGTAAAACAATAATAAAATATCAATATTTGACAGGTAACAATAATTACTATTCATATTACTAGCGGAAACTTGTCACAATTTATAATTATATAACAAATAGTGTGATCGATTTGTTTGTGATTCTGCGTCTTTAAAACATTATCTCAAATAACGAGGCGTAACACGCGGGGCATACTTCGTGCACTGAAATCCACATTATTTATTTCCAAACAAATTACCATATAAGTATTGCACGATTAAGCCTTTTCTTGCTAGATATTTTTAACTCTATCATTTTAATGGACAGTCGGACAGCGAAAACGGTTTTACTGTCTGTCTTATAATTAAATGCGACGATACCGGAAGCAACCTTTTATTGTGTACGTCCGAATGCTCGAGCCCGCGAAAAATTACGTAAAATCGGCAGAGCTGCGTGACGTAACGGAGACGCAGTAGAACAAAACGAACGCCATGAAGTTAACCCTTTACAATGAATCACCTTTTGTCATTATCACCTAGGCATTT